AGGCTGAAGTTGTGGAAAATTATCAATTATTTATTATGATTTTGATTTGAGATATTTGTATGATATAGAAACTAGCATAAAAATATCAGGTCTAGAAAAACTATTAGTAACATTGCAAATATTATGAATATAATACATTCCCATATAAATGTATATTTATGTCATATACACAGCCTGGTCATCTCTTATCACTGTGTCCACAGAAAGCATCCTTGGTGCTTGTAATAATATACAGGAAGGATCTTCCAAGAGGAAGCGACCTTTCTCCAAGTGTGGACAGGTTTCTCCCTATGTCTCCTGATTGGTCTTTTCCTATGTTAATGCATGGTGGGTCTGGCAGATAGATCCCACACCCTTGTATACAAAAGGCAAATAACTGCAAGGGTGAAAGAAAAACCACCTACATTCTTGAAGATAATCAGGAGATGTGCTCAGGGTGGATATGAACAGATAATAGCATTGGGCAATAAGGAACTAAAAAGCATGGCACAGCATGCAGATGGATCGTGCTTTTGGAATTTTAAAGGAAACATACCCTCATCTGATTGCTTCCCTTTGTATCGCTGGGTAAGGATGACTGGAATAATCGACAGATTGTTGACTAATATCTTTCAGTGAGTATACAAGATCAAAAATTGACTACTTAAATAGCATATAAGAGTCATAGACCATATCAATGGGTTTTCTGTAAGATTTGTATTCAGAAGGTTACTAGAAGTCAGTGTTAGGGCTAGAAAGAATAGATACAAACTCAATAGGAAAGGCTTATTTCAGAACAGACCTGAGACATACCTCTCCGCAACTAGAGACCAGAGTAGTAGCTGATATAAAGTTTACCAGGACTTTATTGTATCATGAGCATAAAAAATGGGGACTGAGAAATTGAAAATCACGAGGAGGTTTCAAGGGGAGATTTCAGTACAAAGTAATTATGGTTGTTCCTTTAAGGATGTTCAAGGAGTTGTGTTTTTTTCTCAAGACCATAACTTTAATTTTTTTCCTCATAGATCTCTGCAGCATCTTAGTTATTCTTCCCAGATCGTTTGTTAATTCCCTCAGAGGTAGAAACTCCATTTCACTCAAAGAGTGTACTGCTCAAGTTTTTCCTGTGTATTTTCTCTGCATCTGCAGAGCTTGTTGTCTGGTGTCCTATGACTGTCATGTGGCCATTTGTCACCCTCTGCATTACAGTATCATCTTCATCCTGAATCTGTGCACAAAGGTAATGGGGAGCTCCTGGGCCCATGGCCTGGTCTGCTCTGTGATCCACAGAGCAACCATGTTCAGGCTTCACCACACAAAATCCAATGTGATCCACCAATATTTCTGTGATATATGTCAAATTCTGATGTTCAGTTTTATGGATACTGTTTTTTTTTTTTAGTAAATGTTTGGGTCATCTTTGTAAATTTTGTCTTTTTGTTTGTGACATATATGAATATATTCTCAACAGTGCTTATGACACTCTTTCTAGACGTCCATCCCAAAGCCACATGGTCTTTATCTTTCAGTTGGCCATTTTCTTCTGTTCTTAATTTCTGGGTGGCTGCTTTCCTAGATTGCACTGCAGTGAAGGTTGTCTGAAAACTCTTCTAAGAGCTGTGTTCTATACTCTGAGTTCCCAAACTGATAAACCCCATCATGTACAATCAGCAGAGTGGAGGGATTCGTTTTTCTTTAAGACACAGTTTCAAGTGACCTTTTCAATTGTGACTAAGGAATTTCTTGATGAAAACGTCTGACAGAAAGATTACTAGATAGAGCTTTAAGGTGTATTGATAAAAGTTTTACATTTAGGAGGACCTCTGTAAATTATCTGCTTGTTTATGTTCCCAATAATTTTCTCTACCATGTGAATGTGAGCTAAATGACTTGCTGTTTCAGTTCTCTAAAAGTATAGTGACATAATTCATATCTCCTTCTTGAAAATACTGCAAGGCTGTTCATGATTCCCAAAGTGCTTTGGAAATGTTTGAATGCTGTGATTTAAATGGAGAAAGGCATCGCTGGAAAGTGATGCCTTAGACATCAGCACAGTCACAGGTGTCTGCATAATGGAGAGCAGGTCAGGATCCTGGACACTACTGACGGGGAAGAGAACACTGAATAGTTAGGATGGAGAAGAGTGCTGGATAAATCGTTCTTTCATATGCATTCCTATTCCAAGGCTGGGAAAATATTAAAATGATCTGGGATGGTTGGAACTGAGGGAACATTGACCGTGTAACTCTGAGATTCTAGCCACATCTCTGAAATTGTCAGGATCACAGCCAAGGTGGCTCACTCAGTGAAATAGTGGACTATGGAATAACTGAGGTTCCTAGAAAATAGCTCAATTCTCTAGTGCTCCCTAAGAACTGGAGGCAAGCACAGATGCCAGGCTGATGCACCAACTTTTCAAGGTGACAGAGAAAATCAAATCATAGCCATGCAGTGGAGTGGGAAGCCTCAGTGCTAGTTGGATTTCCCAGATATTACCCCATTTTGCTTCTTAGTGATACTGGTTTTTTTTTTTTTAAAGCTATGTTTGGAACCTCAAATGAACCTTAAAGTCCTGTGTGCTAAAGGGCTGATTTGTGCCATTCTGCAGTGCCGTTGGTTTACTGATGGCATCTGCTGTGCTTACTGATACATTTTGAAAATTGACTGTAATATTTCTCAATGTTTTAATTTATGTTAATGCTTTTTAATAAGCTGTTTGGAGTGAAAATAAAATCAGTACAGAATTTGGAGTAAAAATAAAATCAGTACAGAATTTTTTCCTTGGCATTTTTTGTTCCAGGAATTGAACTCCGGATCATATCTTGCGAGACAGGTCCTGCATGCAGAGCTAAATTCTTTGGCGGGGTTATATTTAGATATTTAATCTTCAGTGTCATTTTTCTCTCAGGTTTACTGCAATCATTGATTTTTTTCATACTTTATTTTGATTTCAAATATGTTACTGGAAATTCTCCTTTCAAATACCTCAAATGATATTTTTATGGCCTCAAATTACATATACTCACCCAGAATTATTTACACTATTTGTATTACATGCAATATATATATGTATATATACACACACACACACACACATATAAATTAACAATAGGATATTAGCTACTTTTAGTTTTCAATTTATTTTCATCATCAAAAATATGGGCCCCAAATCAGAGTTTTACACACATACTTGACATATTAACATGTCCCACACTCTTATTTGTATCATCCTATGTGTGAGGTAATTTTTTCTTGTTTTTTTTTTGTTAGAATGGAGCAATTTTAAAAATACTTAACTTTAAAATGCTTATCTATAATCTGATATCCATTTGAAACATAAAAACCCTTCATATTTCCTTTTGTGAAATGTTAACGATGTGTTGCATTAGACTATAAAGTTAATGTACACACAAAAGATTGCTATTCCTCAACATGACCTAGGTTTTATTCTATAATCAAATTCAAAGGAAAATTATGGTACTGAAACAAACTAATGACGGCACATTGGTGGACATCCATTTTCTGATCTTCTGAAAGCACTTAGCTCTAACCACTGTTTGCCTGGGAACTCTTGTCAGTCATCATTTTTCAGATGTCAGGAGTTTAGAGCTGCACTTGTACCCTACTGTAACACAGCTAAATAATTTTCACATTTGCCATTTGCAAAAGCTCAGACAGACATCTCTCAAGGGCATCACTTGTATCAGCCTCATGCAGCAGGGCACTGATTACAAGTGAATATGTAATAATGTTGCTGAAATTTGCATAGCATGGAAAAAATCAGGAAGATGTGTATAAATTATTGTCTAATATTCATAAGTATTTAGAGATTGAAAATGTGAGACCAAGGATTTATGACTTTTTGGAATCACATTCTATTTAAACTACATTTTGAAGTCTGAGTAGAATTTGTACAAATAAAAGAGACCACTCAATAGGAAATAGGAACTAATTTCAAAGATATTCAATGGGCAGACAATGTCTGAAGGCACCTCCAATGGCCACAGTATTTATTTCCTATGTGCTATGTTACTGGCTCTGTACCTGAAACCACAGGGTTTCGTCCCCAGCCTCAATGATCCTGCAACACAGTGCACAGCTACCTGCTCCCATGGGGGAGGACTGGCAGAAGACAAAATGTGACAAGAGTTCATCTCCATTCTCAGAAGGAAGCTGAAAGCAGACTGAGCAGGGAAGCAGAGACTGTTTCGCACAGTGTAGCTAAACATAATTCTATGTCCTGAGAGTATTGGAAATGCGATGTGATACAGGGAGCCTGGAGGAAGTAGGACTTGTCATAGTGTAAGAAGCACTAGAACTTTCTGCTTTCATAAGTTCCAGAATATAATCACACATCAGCAGGAAGTTGCACATTACAGACACACAGTTTTCAGAAAAGAAAAAATATATGTATCTAGAAACATAGTTTATTAGAAAAATAAAGATGCAAAAGGTTTAATACATTAATAGGTTGAATACATCAAAATGTATCCAACAAATAAAATTTGTTATAAGTTTAAAGGCCTTTTGAAAGTTACCAAATTATCTTTAAAATGTTGTTTAAAGCTTTATTGGTCCTGGGAATGAAACTCAGGACTTTGAACTTGCCAGAGAGGCATTTGTGTGGCTGAGTATGTTCCTGACTCTGCAACTATGAATTAAATTTAAAAGTATTTTCATTGAAAAATGACGATCAGAACTTGTAACAGAGTTTAACAAAATGTAGAGATAGATACATCGGAATGTTAGGAGGAAAAAGAACTTCACAGCATTATCCTGTATAGGGAACAGAAGAAGAACAAAAATCATGAATGGTACAATGGAAAAGCCATCAATTTTTATGGAACACAAAATCTGTAAGTGAAGAATCCCAGGAATTGACTTCCTTTCTTCTCAGACTGAAACACTGAGATTAGCATCAAAAGATCAGAGTAAGACGACCTCAAAGTGAGAATCATCCCAAAAGCTAGCAAAAAGAGCCCCAAGGAAGGGAAAATGCTAAAACACTTTAATTGTACTCAATCTCCTATTAGTCCCCTTCTCACTTTCCTTGGCACTTTACACAGGACTGACTGAATGTCCCTGTTCCTCAGGCAGTAGATAATGAGGTTTAAGACAGGAGACACCACAGAGCACAGCACGTCTATAATAAGAGAAGCATTGGAGGCTGGTTTCAGATAAGCAACAAAACCTGTTAACAGAAAGGTTCCCACAACCACCAGGTGGGAGTGCAAGTGGAGAAGGCTTTGGATCAGTTCTGCATGTATGGGATCTTCAACACAGCAGAGAATATAAACACATAGGAGACCACAATGCAGACCAAACATGAGAACGAACAGAGGGCTCCAAGGGCCACACTGACATTGATAGTGGCATGTTCCTCAGAACAACTGAGCTTTAGTAGGGAAGGCACATCACAGAAAAAATGATGAATCCTGTTGGAGCCACAGAACTCCAGAGAGAATGTCCCAGATGAATACAAAATCCCAACCACTACTCCACTGAGCCAGGACATAGCCACCAACTGGACACAGAAACCTTTGCTCATGACAGCCTCATAGTGCAGAGGATGGTATATGGCGACATACTGATTATAGGACATGGCAGGCAGGATTCTCTCCTCTGACCCTACCAGAAGGACCACGAAAAAGAGCTGACCCACACACCCCAAGAAAGAGATGGAGTCACTGAAGTTGATGGAGTTGACAATGGATTTGGGGACTGTAGTGGAGATGACACACAGGTCTAGGTAGGACAGATGTTTGAGGAAGAAATACATGGTGGTGTGGAGGTGGCAGTCGAGAACTGTGAGGAGGAGGATGGTCAGGTTCTCCAGCATGGACACCAGGTAGACCAGGGAGAAGAGGGTGGCCTGCAGCCCAAGCAGTGCCTTGCTGTCCATAAGTCTTAAGAGTAAGAATCTTCTCAGAAGTGTCTGATTCCTCATATTGTAAAGGTGAATCTAAAAGCAAAGTAATGAATTAAAACATCATATTACAGGGAGGAAACAGAGCCCACTTTACCCCTTCACTGAACACAACAGAGTTGACTTTACTCCTTCACCAAAAGATAAACTTGAGGCCTTCACCAAGATAGTGGATGGGCCTTGATGTCAACTGAAGAAAATCATTCACAAAACTTACAAATCCCAGTTTTATTTACATGACAAATTGATGGTATAAATAAAGATCAAAATTAAATAGACTACAGGAAATGGAGAGATCTTTGTAAAAAGGAAGAAGAGCAGGCATTGCAGGGAGGGGAGTAGAATGGGATTAGGAAGGATTGAGATGTGTTATGTACACGTGCCAAGCACTCCTCCCTGAGAATGTGATCATTACGTACTGCAAATGTGTACTGAGACAAATAAATAGCAAAATCTGTATAGCACATGATCTGCTATGCCACTCTCCACTCATTGGGACATGTGTAGTTTAGCATCATAAGTTAGACGGAAAGTTTAGAAACATCAAGATACCTACGTTGCATTCCAACCACGTGTCAAAGAAGGATGAGTGTAACAATATGATGCAGTTGAAATTTATTTTACCACAAGAAAGAACTTCTATTTCTCTCAAAAAAGAATGAGAAGTAATTTTGGTTTACTTTTCTCATTGAATTTTCCAGGATTGCCTATGCATTAGTAACTTAAGTGAGGCATAGGATGCCCCTTTTTATAAACCCATATTATCCTTGTAATTGGTTTATGGATTAGAAAGCATGGGTGAATCATCTACTTACTCCATGCTGCAAACTTAAACTGGTATGTAATATATCCATCAATTGGCTGATCTGTTTGAAGTGGATCCGGAGGAGAACTCTCTTGACAGGACATTCTGTACCTTATGAAATCTAGTAGAACATGCCTTAGAAAGAAACATATGAGAAGAAAAAACTGAAAGGAAAAAGCAACATTTACCATTGCAAGGTGACCATATAAGTAATTATTCATTTCCCTTAAGCAAGACATTAAGAATAAATATTGATTAAAAAGTAATTGTTTAGATTTTATCATATCACCCATACTTTGTTTCTTTAGTGCAGTCATTTAGCAAAACACAGAGCACTGAAAGCTATTCCAAGTATTTTTGAAAAACTGACTTCCAAATATACCCTGGTATTGTCCAAAAAGGAGCAAACTCTGAGACTAATGCAATGATCAGAAATATTCTAGGAAGGAATCTGCCAGCACTGAGAACCAGCCCACTCTGTGACATGCACACCCAACCAGGGAGGTTTTGCATCCTCCCAACGCATGGTGCCTGGGCTCTCAAGGTGAGTACTGGGCTTGTTATCCCCCTCAGGTCCTCTTTTCCCTTTGGACCATTTCAGTGACCTCACTTCAATACTCAGTGCAGCCTTTCTCATCAAGTTTAGCCGAGTTTACGTGAGCAGCAGAAGGTCGTCTCCAATCCAGTCATGCAAGTCGCCCTGCTAAGTACACACTGTGTGAGCACCCTCAGGACTGGAAGCCTCTGTCCTGCTCACCTCTGGCTCTAGTCAGCCCTGTGGATCCCCTTTCACACTACCCTGAAGAGTCGGGAAGGCCAAGTCCTCTGGGACTTCATGGTCCTCATTAGTTCCACATATCTGCCTGAGGAGCCCTACAAGATTAAAAGCCCTTGTAGGACTAGGACCTTAATCTCCTGGGTCCTCAGAATCTGTCTGGTTTATGCACTCACAAGAGAGCAGAGTCTGCTAGGCCTGATGTCCAGCATGGCCCAGTGGGATTCTGAAGGGCCCTCTGTGCCTACCTGAAAAAAAGGGCTCAGCCTTCCCATCCATCCTGCAAAGAAGCATTTCCCATCCTTCCTCTGCTGATTGATCAACTCCTGACCAGCCCTGCTCTCTTTTGCTCACTACAGTGTAATCCCAAGAGGAGGAGCTGGGATGGACAGGTGAGCTCTGACCGGAGCTGTTTCTCTCTCATAACTGAAACCTAGGCTATCTTAGAAAAAAACAGAACAAATCAAAATACACATGTAAGCCAGCATCTGAACATCACTTCTATTACTTTCCCAAATGAGATTATTGCTATTTTAATAGGAATTCTCCCATAGTTGAGTATCAGGAACTGATTTGGAACAGAGAGCATTTATAAATTTTCAATAAAACCAATACTTTCCATTTTCATCATACAGAATAAATGGTTTAAAGCAACCTACTTTAAACTACTGTTACAGTGGAAACAACCATGTTTTGCTATTTATTTAGTCTTATAAAAATCCAATAAGTTAATACATTTAAAACATAATATGAAACCTAATGCTGTCGATGTTAGACAGAATCACTGTCCTGATGATCGATAGAATGTAAACTCTATACAAACACTCTAATTTCACATTTGTTAGTAATAATAAGAAATTAATAGGAGGCTGGGGATTTAGCTCAGCGGCATAAGTGCCTGCCTTGTAAGCAGGCAGTCGTGAGTTCGATCCCTGGTACCGATAAAAAGGAAAAAGACAAAAAAAAAAAAAGAAAAAGAAATTAATATCAGAAAACCAGGATGAAATGATGGTAAGGGACAATGAGTAAAAGTTCTGCTATGGCTTCATTTCATTTTATTAATGAATGTACAGGGCAATGACAGAAGAGGTAAGACCAAAAGAAAAGGGAAACTGAAACTTGAAAATGCTCTTCAGAGACAAAAAGCTACAGCTCCAATTACCTGAATATGTGGGATTGAACCAATAGTTCAGCACATATGTAGACATACACATAAGCACACACATGCCCATGGAACCTAGCAGTCATCACATGAAGAAAAATGTCTTCCTTATTCCAACTTCAGTGGAATTGCAGCTCAAAATTTTGCAATATCTGGTTACTTTCTGAGGGAGAGACCCACTTCAAATGCTTTAGTAAGATCTACACAAGTTTGTGATACATGTCTTTCTTGAAAACTTTATGGGAAAACCTTTAGTAAAATATTCGTGATATGAGCAGGAAATGAAGATAGTTAAAAAGTAGGAAGATATGAAATGAATTAAGGGATGGGAAACATTCACACATATATTTACAGAGGACCAATAAATAATTTTGCATACAAAGAACTGAGACATGGCAGCATGGGCTTCACTTCCTACCTCAAAGTGATCTTACCTTTTATTATAGCGCCTGATAAGATATAGGGGACAAACTGAACACAGCACAGTGTCATAATCTGCATCAGAGAAGGAAAAACTGCTGAACATTAAAGATTCTCACTTCTTGTTCCAGTGGAAAGCTGAAGAAAAATTCAACTAGTGTTATGCTGAGCAGACTGCACCCTAATGTATGCATTCACCAGCGAGCTGGTCATTCTCTAAATCAAACAGCCTTGGGGCTGTAAGAACAGAGAGGGAACAGGGACAAAGAGACAGGACGGGAAAAGAAGGATGGAGACAGAGGGGCAAGAGGAAAGAAACCTACACATCACTTTGGCAGGATAAGTGAGTAAGCAAAGTACTTTGGAAGGGAAAAAGTCTTGACAAGAAAGGCTCCTTTTCATTTTGGATAGAATCTAAGCACAGAATTTCAGTTTTCTATGCTACCCCCCACTACAGTATGAATCAAAAGAGTGACTAAGAATGAAGAGACCATCCAGAAAGAACACTTATTACTGACCTTGGCAGGGATCTTCCGTGGCAGTGGGGATGATTTTCTCAGTGTGGAGATAGAACAGAGGAGAAAGGGTGATGCTCCTGCCCTATGTCTCAGTCAGTTGTTTGCACAGAAATGAGGGTGTCCTTTAAAGCACCTGCAAGCTGACTTTTCATGGGCTTCTCCCCAGAGGCCTCACGCTGGCTGTCCACCTTACCTTCTTGGATCCCAGCGCCTTGGGGACCATGCACTGATTTCACACAAGCAGGCTGCTCTTACAGCACATTGCTCCAAGGAGACAGAGTGGAGAATTTTGGGGCCTTTTAGATTAAACTTGCAGCATCCCTCTCACCATGTACCTCATGACTGGGGCCATGGAATTCACTGCGCATAAGGAGATGGCAATTTACAATCTGCATGCATGATGATCTTTTGGTGTAGTAATATCAGCTAAGTTTTAACTGAGTGGGAACCTAAGAGACACAGTGTCATGACACTGGGATCTTGAATTGGAGTTTCCATGCATTGAGAAGCTCATCACTACATGTGTCAATTTTTAAGCAAAACCGTGTTGTTTCAGCTTGTTGTTCAGCTTCCAAAATGAAACACCTCTGACTGAGTGGGCTGTACAGCATCAACTCCATCTCTCACACTTCTGGAACAAGTCGACCACTATCAGGACAAGGCCGGTTTGGGATCCTCTGAATTTGGTCCTCAGCTGTGTTGGCCCCATCCTGCTGCCTCTCCCTGTGACCCTCTGTGTGTGTTCACCTGTGTGTACACCCTGGTCTCTTCACATGTCCTGGTCATGTAGTCACCTCTTCCACCAAAGTGGCTCCAACACAGAGAAGCCACATGAGATGCCAGGGGTTAGAACCTCAACATTTGAATGAGATTCACCCAGACCATAATATAAATGATAGTCTCTTGCTTTTCAGTTGAATTTGTTTTTTTATAACCACACAAAATACACATGTTAATATGCAACATTTTAAACTAATGTACTAACTCTCCTAGGTCTTTCAACTATTAAAAAGTGTTTGTGGGTTGTGTGGGTGGAAATAAATGGAAAATGATTACCTGACACACATGGGGCCCAAGGAGAAACCACCTTAATGTTAAACATATGAAGGATTTGACTCACTTTAATATATTTTTCTTAAAACTTTACTTCCTCATCCTCTATGCCAGTTTCCTTTAGCTTTATTTAAGCACTAAATGTAAAATGAGAGCTAAGAGAATAACTTTTTTTTCTTTTAGCTCTAGAGGATCAAGCACTCAGATTTTCAACATCAAGGAGGTTGCTAGCTCTAAGATTATGGTGAATTGCTTGGCTTGTTGGTTTTGGTTTCCTCCTCCCTTTTT